CTGAGCTGCCACCTTGTTTGGACAGCAAAGTAGTCCCCATCATATTTGTCTACGATGGCGTCTTTTCGAAGCTGTCGATTTTGCCGGCTACGTGGAAATTAGAGCACACCTCATAAGCATACCTTCTAGTGCATTAGAGCATAGTGCATTAGAGCATTAGAGAGTGAAATTAGAGCATACCTCCTAGTGGGGCTACCCAGCACCTCCACCAAATTGTTAAGGCGTTTATTAGCCGGTAAGGAGCGAGAATATACAATGGCGACAGTCACAGCCAAGCACGGGCTCTCAGCGCGAGCGGCGTCCTTGTTGGGTAGCCCCACTAGGAGGTACTCAAAAGTTCGACCCATTTCAGAGTTCGGAGGCTTCGCTACAATATATACATATATAATGTGACGCTACAAAATGAAGACACGTCGTGGTCCAGATGCCATGCGTTTATATTAATGCACGTGCACTTCCTCTTCGTCGGCTTCTCCTAGAATCACCTTGTTAATGCGTCACACTTCCCCCTCCCCTTGAGAAAGTCTCAGTTCAGAAGGTTCAAAATAACGCCGCAGTTTGCTAACATGCACAATGTCAGAGTTTCTACGTAAGGGTAGCACGGAGCCGTTGATCTCATAGTTCACTGTTGAGACCTTGCGTAGAATATTGTAGGGTCCTTCCATGACGGAACTCAGTTTGCCGTTGTTGGAATGCCACGGTGTCTCGTCGAAGACAAAGTCACCTACTTGGAACTCAATCGGAAGAAATTTTCTATCATAAATGACTTTGTTCTTATTGTGGTAGGCGATAGAATTGGTAACTGCAGTTTTTCGCGCTTCTTCGACAGTTTCTTCTCGTTCCAGTACAGTAGGATATGATGGAATTCCATACATCAGGAAGGAAGGTGCGTAGCCGGTCACTTCGTGGGGTGTTTTGTTGTATTCGTCAATTACCTCCGGAAGCAGCTTAGTCCAAGACTTCTGTGGTTCGTCATTGATCTTACATTTAAGTCTCGTTACGATAGTCTGGTTTGTCCGCTCGTTCATGCCGTTGCATTGTGGATGATGAGATGAGGTGAATAGTTGGTGTATACGATTATGTTTTAAAAACTGCTTGAATTTTCCTGCGGTAAATCCTGTTCCACGATCTGAAAGGAGCTTCGTGGTTTTCCAGAAGAAAAAATTGTTTTTAAGCATGAAATGTAGGCGTCGCTATTCTCACTTTTATGAGCAAACGCCCATACGTAGCGAGTCGCATGATCAATAACCTAGTGATGAGCCACCTTTTTGATGAGCCATATCCAGAAAATCCTCCAATGATGTCTGTTGCAAAGAGGTCGAAGGGCTCTTCAGCTGGAGGCAGTGATTCAAGCGTCCCAAACTTTTTTGTTTTTGTCTTCTTGCATCTCTTGGCATGTATCAAAATGCCGAATGTAAGTGGAAACATCGGTTACCATATGCGGCCAATAATATTGCGGAGACAGGAGTGATAGCGTCTTCTTCACTCCGACAAGCCCAAAATGTTGATGTGCATTCTTCAGAATGATTGGGCGTAGTTCATGGGGCACGTATATTTTCCGTAGTCCTTGTCTTTTAACGATGATGATGTTATTTTCCAATGAGTGCGTTCTTTTTGGACGCTCATTGTTGCATCGCTGAAGGTCGTCGTGTGATAGAAGATTAAATATTGGGGCTCTGGAGAGCGCATCTGCTTTGACATTACTTGCGCCCTTTTGATGTTTGATGTTCACATCATACATTGACAGTTTCAAAGACCACCGGAAGAGACGACCTTGAGGATTTTTAACATTCTTCAGCCACTGGAGTGCAGAGTGATCTGTTACAACAGTGAATGACTTTCCATGAAGGTAGCAATGCCATTTATCAATGGCATCTACAATGGCAAGACATTCTCTTTCTGTAATAGCATAGTTCACCTCGTGCTTAAGTAGTTTGCGGGAATAGTAAGCAACAGGATGTTCTTTGCCTTTGTCATCAGGTTGTTTCAGCACTGCACCGATGCCTCCGCCAAATGCGTCATAGTACATGGTCTCGAAGGGTCGTATATGCGAAGCACCGGTTCTTCAGTTATCCGCTCCTTCAGTTCACGAAAGGCTTGCTCGCATGCTTCTGTCCACACCCACTTGCTGCCTTTGTGAAGTAGTTTTGCGAGTGGAAGAGCGATATCGCTGAAGTGGGGGATGTACTGAAGGTAGGTGTTTACAGTGCCCAGAAAACGCTGGAGATCTTTTTCTCGTTTTGGTGTCGGAAATTTGAGTATGGCAGCCACATTACTTTGCTTAGGTGTCACTGTTCCTTGTGAAATTTTGTGGCCCAGGGATTCAATGCTGCAGCGTGCAAATTGGCACTTTTTTCATTTAAGTTTTACGTTCTCGGTTTTAAGAGCTTTCAATAGAGCCTCAAGGTGTCGTATATGATCATTAAATGTCTCTCAGTATACGACCACATCGTCAAAGTAATTAATAACATTGGTGAGCTGATGTTTTGCTATTATTGATTTCATGGCTCTTTCAAATGTAGCTGGAGCGTTCTTCAAACCAAACGGCATAACCAACCTCTCAAAATGACCATCAGGCGTGACAAATGCAGTTTTCTGAACATCGTCAGAATGCATTTGGACATGCCAGTATCCCGACGTTACGTCCAACGTAGTGAAAAACTCCGCCTTTTCCAAGTGGTCAAGAATATCATCTATACATGGAATTGGTAGAAAGTCGGGTACCGTTATGGCATTGAGTTTCGGGTAGTGAATACATAGACGAGTGCGTCCTTCACCTTTCTTTTCTGCTAAAATGACAGGTGCGGCGTAGGACGATAATGAAGGCCTCACAACACCTTGCTTGAGGAGAGCGTTAACTTGTTTGTTAATCTCCACTTTGTCTGCCTGTGAACATCGGTATGGTGCTCGACGAATAGGGACAGCATTGGTAAGTGCGATCCTATGTTTCTCAGTAGTGATGCACCCAATATCTGTCTGAGATTTCGAAAATATCTCATCATACTTGCTTAAAAGAGAGTCGAGCGCCGCAGACTCATGTTCTGATAAGTTTCCTGAAGTCAGGGTTCGCATCAGCGGGGCTTGAATGGTTTTCTTTTCATTGTGATGCGGAAGGTTCATATTCTCACGTGCTTGTGTCACTGACTTGCTTTCCAGATTTATAGAAAGATTGAAGTATGAAGCGCTGTCTAGGCCAAGAATTAATTGCGTTCTCATGCCTTGCAGCACATGTGCATAAACTTTCTTTATGACATTCTCACTTTGTAACCGAATGTTTACGCGACCCAAAGTTCGAATGCTTGATGCAACTTGCTGGACCATGATGCTGGAGTCTCTCATCAACTGAAGTTTTAGCTGCTTGTGCAGATGCTCGCCGATACAAGTAATTGTTGCTCCTGTATAGAGAATTGCATTTACTGGCTTCCCGTTGATGAGAGCACTGAAGTGTATTAATGAAACTCTGGGTCGCCCTCCTCGTTTCCCCGTTCAGTATCAATAGCAGACACATTGCCGCGGCGCGGACATTTGTTGTGCCAGTGAAACTGTTGTGGGAAACCAGCTGAGCAGTATCTACATTCGTTTTACGGGGCACACGGTTGAGGAGTTATTGTCAGTTGCTGCGATCTGTTGAAGAGACGAGGACCTTTTGATGCGATATTAGCATTACGAGTAAAGGAAACTCCTCTCACCCGTTTTAAAGATGTCTCGACCCGCTGAGCAGCGTGAGCCACTCTAATGACGAGTTGAAAGACAGTCCGGCGAGCGCCAGTTCCACATCAGGAGGAACACCATCAGTCAGTCCAGAAATGATGTGGCACTCTTTCAGGTCAGCCAAGGAACCCAGTCGCTTTTTCTCGTCGTAGTAGTCCTTGATGGTCTGCCCTCCTTTCAGTCGGTAGTGAATGAAGAGACGGAAGGCATCTCCGTCAGCCGTAGCAAAGCGGGCTTGCATGTCACGCTTGATATCGTCCCAAGTTGTCTCACCGTTGCCGAAAATCTCTGTCAGGTACCACTTGAACGCTTCCCCTTCAATGTATTCATTGAAGTGACTGACCCGATCGCGGTGAGTCCATGACGCCTCAGCTGCCTTCATGTCGAAAAGAAGAAGCCACTTGTCGATGGGGACGTCTTCTGGTCTTCCCTTGACTTCTGTATGTTGAGCGGAGGCTTTGGCTTAGGCATGGCACGTTGATGAGGTCGATCCTGTCGGCTTGTGTGACGCTACAAAATGGAGACACGTCATGGTCCAGATGCCATGCGTTTATTCTAATGCACGCGCACTTCCTCTTCGTCGGCTTCTCCTAGAATCACCTTGTTAATGCGTCACACACACACACACACACACACACACACACACACACACACACGCACGCGCACACACACACACACACATATATACATATATATATATATATATATATATATATATATATATATATATATATATATATATATATATATATATATATAGAGAGAGAGAGAGAGAGAGAGAGAGAAAGAGAGAGATCGGAGGTGTTGAGAAGATGAAAAAATGCCTGTTACATGTAAAAGAAAACTTTCATGCTCTTGATGCATACGTACCATACTTATTCTGGTCAAGAGCTGTGCAATTGCCGCAATTTTCGCCATCCTCCGATTTCGTTCTCAATGCGACTATGGCGCGAGACTGCCTACTTGTCACTGGCCCATAATTCGAATTTTATAAGCCTGAAAGGAAAAGGAGCGGGCATAAACAGTTCCCTATGAAACAGTCCGTTGGCAATGAATGAGAGCCTAAGCCAAGCTCCAGAAAAATATCCCGGGCCAGCGCCGGGGGGGTGCCAGCCCCTTATGAAGCTGCCCAGAGGGAGCCTCAGCCCCCCAGCCCTTCTTAACTTTCTGCCTATGGTCTACAGTATTGCATAGCACACATACATGTACCTATATTGTAGTCACTTAAGATTCTTAGAACACTAGCAGTGACTAGCAAAATTACAAGTCACAGAATGACAATATAAACCGAAGTCTGAAAACAATACTTTATTACATGCAAAAGTACAGTTACTCAGAGTAGAGATGTCTGCATTATAAAGAAAAAAAAAAGCCCTGTGTTCATGTTCACATGACAACCCACAGGTATTCCACAAGAAATTCCTGGAAAGCCACACATAAGCAAAAGAGGGCAAAAAACCAAACTTGAAAAATAGGTTTCCACTTGTTCCAAAAAAGACGATTCTGATAGTGAAGCTACCAGTTTCCACACATACATGAATACATACACAAAATGGAGCAAAACAATTCCCTGTGGGCACCACTCATAGGTAAAGTCATGTTAACCCACTTAACTAGAACAAGTCACCTTTTTTGATGTTCAAGAACAAAATGAAACCTCAATACCAGACCAAGAATTTCTTTCTTGAATGGCTTTCCTTCATGGTCACACTCTACCTTGGGAAAGAGCAAGACAGACAGAGCTCGGCCTTGTTTGTTTAGGAATTTCTGTGAATTCGAAACAAGCATCCAATGGATTGCTTTGCAGAAAAACTGCAAGTTATAGTGGGAAAAAAAAAAGGGGGGGGGGGGGGGGGGGAGGGTTCAGTGAGTGCACACTCAAAGGTAAGAACTAATGCCTCCCTCACCAGTGTATATCTCTCTTTGACAAAAATCTTAATGGGCTACTTTTTCAAACACAGCCAGAAAGAAGCCCCTGGTAAGCATAGTGTCCACTCCAAGGCGCACACAGTGACTGCCCTGCGAACCGAGGCCACGAAAAGGTAACTCAGGCAGCGCATGGGCCAACACAAAACGTCCGTTTGACCGAGCCAGTACATATTCCACGACATCCTCATTTTCCTGTCTGAGCACTGAACAAGTTGAATACACCACACGCCTGCAGCGAGGAAAATCCAGGGCATGCATGAGCAGTTTGCTCTGCACAGTAGTCAACCGCTGCAGCCGCTCTTGGCCCTCAGCACTTTCCGGGTCCAATTGTTTGCCCGGTCGGTCACAGAGGCCAGTACCGGAGCACGACGGGTCTACCAGGATGAGCTCGGTGGAACACTGAGGTGCCGCATGTGGGTCAAGCACCAAGAAGTCAGTGTTGCACACACTGCAGATGGACTTGAAGCCACCATTTTTCACAAGGTGTCGCACTACTTCTAGTCGTTCACTGCTCCTGTCTACAGCCAAGATTTTTCTGAAAAAGAAAGAGTGAGCACATGAGCACAAGTCTCAAACCACTAGCAAACACTGTCAAGTTCCATGCTTTGTAAGAGCTGAAATATTGCACACTGCGAGGTACAACAAAGAACAGCATTCTAAGTCAAATAATTTTGCAGGGTGCCGATCTGTGATAAAAGCCAAACCATTTTAAGTGAGCTGCTATAAGCACAGTATAGACATTGTGTCAGCTCAACAGCTTTAATTTGAGGAAACACCAGTAAGGCATTACACACAAGCACAGTAAACATCTGCCAGAAATGTTGCTGGTTCGTTAAACAATTACTATGAAAGTAAACAACAGGCACAGCACATCTTGGTACGTAATGAGGACCAGCACTGGAATTCCAAACCTCTAGTGCGGACAGTCCCATCTGCTCTCATATGGCACTAATCATACATCAGTTTTAATGGCTCTAACTGGCTGCTAGCCTACTTGAAGGCACACATAAATTAACAGCAAATTAGAATAGAAGCTCGGGCGAATAGACATGAATCGATACTGGGAAACATGTACACTTTATCATGTTCTTGACAAAGATGAAAAACAAATGGCACAGGTGCAAGCTCACCAAGAAGTTCATATACAAATTAAAAATAAAAAGTTGACATTCGTTGCTAACCACTGTGTATGTCCCCTACAAAACATTTATCTTGTCGACTCCTAATATGTTTTGCAAATATATGAAAGGTAGTTCTACTCGTCATGTCACCATAATATGGGTGGCTGCACTAACACTGCATACTGAAAAATCTTGTTCCGTGGGAACTCCTGCACCCACACTACTTGCTTGATGACATTTTCTCTTGGAGAATTTTGTGTGGCTGGACATGAGCACAGTTGGTCATATAGCACCGTCAACTGATGGTCACCTTGCTTCAAAGAACAGGGTCCCACTGGCTTAACTTTGGCAGAACTCTGGCATTGCTCCCCTGACAGGTGTCAGACGAGGTTGGAAGAGACCGCGTCGAGGAGTGCATAAACAACTTGGCCTCTCAGGCTAATGGCAATCCTTTGCCGCTTCTTGCCGGCCAGTACTTTCTTTGTCTCGTTGAGGCCACCAGCTATGGCAGGCACAAATGTTGTTCTGCAGTTTCGAGGCCCTGAGGCAGTGCCTTGTGATCATGCCCTGTTTTTTTCCTCAAGACGTGTGTGTGTAATTTCTGTTTCTCCTGCTATGGGGTGTGCAATCATGGGGGCACCTGCCAAACAGTAGGTAGGGCATCCAAAATTGGTCTTTCATTTATTTTATGCATGCACTATGCACAGCCACGAAATGCTACATTTTGTAACTTGTATTAATTGGTGAACTGCATACTTATGTCACGACTGTATTTTGTGTAAAGCAATAATAATAAGCATGTTAAATAAACTATCTTTTGGAGAGACTCGCCCAGAGTTAGCAAGAGGTATGCAGAGCGGCTTGTTGTTATTTGGGGCAAGTTATGCGAGTGCTGCAGTTCGCAGAGTGAGTTCCCAAGTGGCCAGCTAACAACGCCGATTGGTTCTGCGAAGGGGAACGCAGAAGACCAACGCATGGAACAACGGCGATTCCATTGTTCACACAGGTCACGAGCGGAGCTGTCAGTCAACCCCAGTTTGGGACAAAAAGGGGAAAGCCTACCGGGAAGTGCGTCTTGCAAGAACCAGGCCAAGCGCGGTCGTCTGGTTTTCAGCAAATGTTTTAGCGTTCACGTGTGTGTTTTGAGAATGCCGCACGGATGCGACTACTGGACCGACCGAGACATCGAGACATAGGCATGCGCCCTTTGGTGATAATACGGCTTTCCGAGCATATGGGTGAGCTTGTTCCCCCCCCTCTATACATGATTACCAAGTGTTCTTGGGAAGGCGGGGAGCCTCGCTGTTGCATGTGCACATTGTCAGTGGCCTGACAACCTTCTGACTATGTTTAGGACGGCTTCTACAAAGCAAAGTTTAGTGATAGAGTTCGAGCCTGAGATAGGCTACCGACAAACGCCAGATACGCGAGCTGACATGGGAGAGAGTGCGATGACACGCGTTGCGCACGGAACCTTGCGTGTTATATTTGGTAACATGATTTTCACCAATGCTGTGTCTGTTATGAAGATGTTTCTGCCATTGGTTGTGATGATGTCACCCCCCCCCCCCCCCCCCCGTGGGATTGGCTTGTGTGCAGACCCCTTTTCTGACCAAGGGTTGAAAAGAGGGTGTTCCAATGTGAAATGCGAGAGCGGAGGTTCGAGCTTGGACCTAGGCAGGTGCCAGAGTGCTGCATTAAAGCATCTCATTATCGGACTATGGCTCTCCTTCGCGCTGCCACCAAGCACTCGAGTCATCGAGGGGCACCCAATCCGAACCTCATACACCTTCCCTCCATAGCTAGTGTAGAAGCTAGCTGAGGAGTAAGAAATCAACTCCTGAGGTATCCCTCATTGTGTGAGTGGGCTGGCTGTCTCTACACAGTAATGGGCTGAGCTCTCGTGTGCAGCGGTGTGATTGGCACATGGCATGATAGAAACACGGGCATAGCATAATGACATGCTTTGGCTGCAAATACAAAAACACAAAGTAAAGGAACACACAATGACAAGTGCAAGCGGCTTGTCATTGTGCGTTCCTTTCTTGTGTGTTTGTGTATTTGCGGCCAAAGCATGTCATTAAGCAAGTACCAACTAGGCCAACAATCAGTATTGTTACATGGACATAGCATTCACCATGGAGCTTTGGGAACTTCATAAAGGGTGCTGTGCCCATGCTGTTCCCAGAGGAGGTGCTGTTCAGTGCATATGACTATGAAAAGTGAGGCTGTACCTGCTCCACGGCAGGTGTGACAACGCTGCGCTATCTCACCTCCTCCTGTTTCTCACAGCTCACCAAGTACAGGGATGGAAGCGGTCTTTTGGAGCAGCTCTGGGAGCAGGAATAAATCTGTTTTGGAGCAGCTTTGTAGCAGTGTTGGAGCATGAAAGGATGTTTCAGAGCAATGCAAGTTAGTTTTGGAGCAGATTTCTAAGTCCAAATTCATTCATAAATCATTCTAATTCTCTTTTTTATTTAATTTCTGAGAAGCCCAAGAAAGTTCAGTGTTTTTCAGTAAAAAATGAATGCTGATGAAGCAAGCAGGATCACCACAAATTATTATGGGTGTGTGTATGTGTAGAAAAGTCTAAATTGAAGGGCTTGTTTTCTTAGTCAGATGCAGTATTAATGAAAACAGACAATAATGACAAGGAAAGTATAGGCGACATTATTAGAAGCAATTTTAATGTAAATGTGAAGAAAGAAAAGTGGACCAAAAGAGATAACTTGCCACTGACAGGAACCGAACCTGCGCCATTCGATTAACGCATTCGATGCTCTATCACTGGGCTATAGTGGCGGTCATCCCCCTCCTCTCTACTTTGTAGAATATACATGTGCAATTAAACATGGGAGCATCACTCATCACATCACATCACGCACGCACCCGTGCGCGCGCGCGCACACACACACACACACACACACACACACACACACACACACACACACACACATATATGAGGAATAAGTTCAATGGTTTCGATAGAAAATGCAGTCCAAAAATAAGACGGCAAACGTATGAAACGCCATTTTTACTAACATTTCAGAAGGAGGGCGTGCCTTTATCAGAGAAAATGATGAAAGCCCACACAAAGCCTATATATGAGCGGCTGGCTTTGGTATCCCCAGAATGCGTCATGTTTCACTTTTTGACACTAGATAGCAGATTGACAATGCAAATCAATTGATAGACGTGGCTATATGTAATATACGTGACGTTTTGCGATAGGCTGCAGTTGTTGGTGAACATGTTCAGGGATTGCAAATTGGTTTACAAACCATTGCAAATTCTTATTTCTTCAAAGCAGAACTGTTCCAAATCAAACTTTGTATGCATTGAACGTAAGCCTGAAACAAAATGTATCATCTCTTTATCTGCCTCGAAAAAGATAGAAGAGATTCCAAGTGCTCACCCCCTGTTATTCATAAGTGCTGCTGCATAGGAGGTTTTCATGCCTGGGGCAGCACAGGCATCCAGCACCACTGCACCTGGCCGTGGATCCAAGGCAATTACTGCCATACCTGATGCCTGAAAATGAACAGCACGTCCAATTGCTCCGATTTCATTTGTCGCATAAGATAACTTATGTCACTATTTCAGCACAGCTATCTGCAATTAGTCAAAGACCAAACATTATCCAAATGCTTCAATACTTACGGAGGCATTCACACAGCTGTGTTCAGAGAGGCCAGCGAGTGCTGAAAACAGCACCAGTGACATATGGGTGCAAGCTTAAGTTTCCAGCTTGCTCAACTACTAATGGCAATGGAAATGAAACATATTTTTCTAATATTTCCTGTGTTGTTTCAATTCGATTGGTGCCCTTTGTCTACGACACAAGTAGCCCCTTCTGCCTCCTCTGTACTCTTTTGACAACATACGTTGTCATCTTTTGTTAAAGCTTGTGTAGGTGATTTCTTTCATGTTTTTTCTTTTCTTTAGGGGGGGGGGGGGGACATGGTATGAATTAAGGTTGGGTGGATGTGGGGGTGCTACACTCCCTGCACTGTCGTTTGCGCCTTGTGGCACACGTCCTGAGAGTTTTTATCATCATCATCATTATTATGGTTAGCGTAGTACCGTCAGCAGTGATGCCTGGCGGTCAAGTCAGATGGGCGGTCAGATAAGATTGGCGAGTCTCACTGACGCGTGGCGGCTGGCATGAACGGTTGTCTCCGCAGTAGGTCCATAAGCGGACGGCACCGCGGGTCGTATGTCGTGGGCACTCTTGGTAAGTCGAGCCTTGGCGGCGTTGCCTTCACTCTACCTTGTGTTTATTGTTATGTTTGATTGAGTGTATTGGAATATTGTGTAAGGTTGTGTTTAATGAGTTGATCACAAGTGATGTATTCATTCAGCTGGCGATATCGCCGTAGAAGCAGTTAAACGAATCTGTCGTTTTTTTGCTTCGACTGTGTCGACCGTGTCCATTCCCTCCGAGAGTGTTGCATCATTTCGAGACCCCACAACACACACACCTTTACAAAATGTCTGTGTGTACACACAGACATTAACAGATATTCAGAATAAGTGCCAATGCTGCACATTTATATAGTTATTCTTCAGTGTGTTCACAAGGAGTACTGTGTTTTGAGTGTTTTGTAGTGTGTTCCATTTTCACTTTTTCTTTTCAGATAAATGATTAGTGTTGTTCACAGTAGTCCTGTTTGTCTCTAGAGTGTGGAAATTTGTGTCACTTCACGAGTGTTTACCCCCGCAAAGATGCACACCCTGAAATGACCCTGGAATTGCCCTATCATGAAAATTTTTATTTTGTATGTTGATATACATGGTGCACATATCACGTGTATGAACATACGTAAACTGAGATCAATGTTTGAAAACAATTTACACATCCTGTGTACCTAGAAAAAAACTTCCATTATTGAAAATGGCTTACACTTTGCTTGCATGGGTGCACTTCTGCACTTTATGGAACGAGAAACAAGTGAACGAAAATGCCGCTCGTTTAAGGAAGACATTTGAACAAACATTGATGCAACACTGCGTTCCAACGTAACCAATAAACACTGTTTGCACTAAAGGCTGGATCTGACCAATTCATACCATTTGTTAAAAAAGAAACGGTGTAGCGAAAGCTTGACAAGCTTTCCAGTTTGCAAAACTTAACCCTCCTAAATAGAGCCCCTGCCTACATTTTTGCTGTTGCTCATACACACATACCTTATCCTGCAGAAGAACCTGCAAATTTTTCACAAGGTCCAGTGTGTTCAGCTTGGCACCTGAACCAAACACAAGCCAGTCCCGTAGGTGAAAGTCCTTGAGGAACTCGTGTGGCTGTAGGTGCCGCACTCGCTCCAAAAACCAGTCCAGTCCACGTCGGCGTGGGTAACGCACCCACCGGAAGCCCTGTCGCTCCAGTTGTTGTATGACCGTAGACGTGTTCAGCAGCAGAGTGTTGACACGAGCATATCGTGGCAGTGACACCGGCAGAGCTGCACAGGAGCACACTTTCAGTCTATCTTCTCATCTGGGTCAGGGGTGGCCTCATGGTAAGCCTCGTAGACAAACAGGCCGAGGACCAGGTGGACGCAGAGCACACTGGCCACGGTGGCACCAACCGAGCACGCCGTACTCGACGCATGCCACAGCTCAGCCAGCGCCCACTGGGCTCCGAAGAAGGCACCCAGAGGGAGCGTCACCATCAGTGCCGTGTACAGCAGAAGCGTGGCCAGTGGGCCTGCCATGGCACCTCTTAGCAAGCCTGCGCAATACACGAGGCCACCCCCAAAGAATCATTATTACCTTCCTTGGACACAGCTGCCAGGGCCTTCTCAAGCTGGGGCCGGCAGGCGAGAACCTGGTCACCACGTGCACACATCCCTGGAGGGAAAGGCCGCTCCCCAAATAGTGCTTCATGAACCAAAACCAATGCTAAGGGCTTAGGCAGGTCCAGCAGTGGGCTCTGTGAGACCACTGCCTCCAAAATGGGCAGCTTCCGACATACTTGTATCACCAGTGCGGCCAGCTGAGTCTTGTTCTGCACCCACAAGACAAGCCCCACTCTATTGACTCTAAAGGTGTGCAAATGGTAACCATCAACTCAAGGTTACACAAGATATTGTCTTTGGTAATTTTCTGCGAATGTGCATGCCCTGCATGTTTCCCACACATGCTTTTTGGTAACGTATCGAATCGCTCAACTATCCATCACACTAACCAGCTTTTGTACCATCGAGAGCACAATGCTAACAAGGGTTCCACTTTCAACACTGAAATATATCAGCAAATACGACATCAAGATCCTACAAGTAGAGTGCTAGTTGATGTGGAGTCATGAAAAATATGAGAACGAACATCCAAATCAGCTACTAAAGGTCTTAGTGGTTAAACGAAGTCAAGAAGTGCCAAAGTGCTCATAACATACTCTAAAACAACTTTCTTTGACATTTGCTGAGGAATAGTTGAAAAACACAGGTACATGGGCTACAGGGACGGTACATGTGCTAACTTTATAATGACTAACATTTATTTTCCGAAACACAAGAAAAACATGCATGCGTCCCAACGGACAAGAGTGAGAGAGAAAATTTATTAACACAAAAGTAGAGAGGGGTGTTACTAGCAGCAAGTATAATGTAAATGTGAAGAAACGAAAGTGGACTAAAAGATAACTTGCTGCTGTCAGCATTAGTAGATCATTGATGATCGAGCATTGGACGCGTCATTCAAATGTCCCAGCGTCAAGTTATCTTTTCGTGCACTTTCTCTGTTTTTTTGTCACACTCGCGTTACCCTTACTACTAATGATATTCCCTATACTTTCCTTGGCCTCATTGTATTTTGTTTGTCATTAATGTTGGGTTCAATGAAGAAAAACAAGCCCTTAAATTTTCACTTATTTCCTACATGTGTCCCAATGCTTTTTGTGCTATTACACAATGCATTAACTGGCTAGGTTTCCTTAGTATTTCTGCCATAATAAAGGAAAACCTGAGATAGTGACATGCCATGCATATATGCAAGTGCTTGTGAAAATAGTCAAACAATCTCATTTGCATTTTCCTAAGGTTTGGGAAATGAGAAGCTTACTATAGTGATTATGCTAATATTGAATACATTATTGTACTAAGCTTAATTTTATTATATTTTTTACTTTGTTCTTTACAGGCCATAGATAGTTTAGCACTGGTGGAGACACAAGGATCACAGATAGACACACTGGATGCACAGGCACTACTTGCTCTATAAGAATTGAGCATGTGAAGCCCGTGGTTCAGTATGTGCCCCAATAAGGTAGCCAAAAGCATTGCAAAACATTTGGTGGCAGCAGCACATCCGTCTTTATACTCTTCGGAAGGAGGACAAAAAAAAAAGCAGGATATTGAGAAGGAAGTGCGAAAAAACACTGGGTTGCAGGTAGACTTGTTTGGTTACCTGAATATGCCTATGCTTAAAGAGCTGCTAAACCAAAAATCTTTTTGTGTCCGCTGCTGCCTTGATGACAACACCACTTGTCTGTTGGCTCCAGCGACACACCACACATTAAGATTTCTTATCATAATAGACGAAATATTCAGAAAGAAATTAACTTGTCAAATCACCCTTTTCAACCTACATACTGCTAACACCACGACAGTTTTTTTTCTTTTTATTTCTGTCCTTTTTTGACAGTTTTTTTTTCTTTCTCTCCTTTTTTGTAACCTTACAGAGTTATATACCATTTTCTTTAACCTTTAACCCAGTGCAATGTTTCAAACTTTAAATAATTGATTGATTGATATGTGGGGTTTAATGTTCCAAAAGCACCATATGATTATGAGAGACGCCGTAGTGGAGGGCTCCGGAAAGTGCTTTAGAAATAAGCGCATTTTTTAAAATAAAATACATTGACTAGAACACTGTGCGCCGTTTGCAGCATATGCACCTACAAACGTTCCTTGAAACTGCAACTGCAAGTTGGAATGATGTCTACAGGGTAAAAAGAAAGAGATATATGACCAAGAAAGAAATATGCACACCGGAAATGCTCACTCACGACTGAAGGGTTATTGCATGTGTTAACAAACATATATAAGAAAATGGGGGTCCATCAAATTTGTCACGAAGGGGCACAAAATCACTAGCAACCAAAGTGCGTGTTTACAGTTGATTGATAAATTTAGGTTTCTTGTGTTGTAACAATAGCAAAGGTTAATTGACTTAATTGAGCTGCTGTCTTATTAGAAACTGCAAATTATCAGAGCAAGGCATCCCATAAACAAGCTGTGATCTTATTAAAAACCACAAATTATCAGAGCAAAGTATCTCGGACGTGAATTATAGTTCCATCCCTTCGCCATTAAACACGTTTAGAATGTGTCTACTTTTCCTTTTTCCAGCGCGTGACGTGTCCATAAAAACTTCAAAATTCTGTAGCTGTAACATTTCTCTGCAGTCTTGTGTTAATGGCCAAATCAAACAGCAATATGAGCAGTTCATCGTTGAATAATTATGAATTCAGTGATCGGCTAACATTCCTCCCGATAGCATGCTTTGATCACATGAATCGGTACGCAACAACTCGCCACTCATCTACGTTCGACGCACAACCATCCTGTGATACCTACACTGACTGCGTTATTCATTCCAAATTTCATGCGTACACACAGGTGCGTTTGGATTCTATTCAACAAGCGGCGTCATGTTTTTTTTCGTTTTGTGCTCGCACGACGCCAACGAGAAGCAGAAGAGCCAGTTCTCTCGGCTTACCAACTTTTCCCACAGTGCCCCGCGCGCCCGCGAGGCGTTGTGGGATGGCTTGAGAAAGGTCTATTTGACTTTCCGCAAGTCTCATATTGACATGCACAGTTGTACCTTGTCATTTTGCAGGTATCACATATTTGTTCTGTGCATTATATTTGCTTCTCGCTCTGCTTTCAATGCCATGTCACGCATGCGCAACATTATGAATAGATTTATTTGAACTTGCTGGGTGCGACAACACTAAACAGTTGTCAGTAGCGCCTGTCCTGTGTTTATTTTTCCGTTTGCGCTCGTTAGTTTTAGCGCTTCCTTTTTTCAGTGTTCATGAATAGCCAACTAGCCCAACAGTTTAGCTGTTCAGCTAATTGGACTTAAGTGTCTGCTGACAGCATTGCAGTACTCCTGTGTGGGTCAAATCCTCTCAAGCTGTTTGCGCAGCTTCCTTTGATCTACCGCAACACTGCATTTTCTTTTCATATGTAAAGTTTGCCCCCCCCCCCCCCCCCCCCCCAACTCTTCTTTTTGGAACCGGCTGGTTCCAGGGCATGTTGTTGGGCGAGATGGCAAGTTTCGCGCACGCACGCTGCGTGTATCAGTCGCGCCTTACTCACCGGCAGCCGGGAACTTTCCACCAAGGTCTGAAGAGACTTTGCGGGTGTGTTGTTTAGGGCGTCAACGATGCGCGCAGCCTCCTTATAACGCCTCGGCGTGCGGATAAATCCTCGCCATTCCTGCGGCATCGTGTAGGCACTGCAGCGTTAGATTATTTTGTGCTTCCTTAAGTAGAACGAGCCTTCATTATATTCAGCTTTTCAGTTTCCAATGGACCATGAATAGCACACGCGAGCACACCTAACCTAAAGATACAGTGCTCTAGATAGTTCACTATACTAAAGATGGCTGATGCGATCGCAATCCAAGCCAATAAAAATCCCTATCTATCCACGCCATCATGAATAATCATGGAGAAAGAAAACAACTCATTCCTTCATGGAGGAAAAAAAAAATTCCATGCCATACATAAACTCAATGATCCATGTTATATATCTCTATCACTGGGTCCGCCTCTAAACACGGAGGAAAGAAAGGTTTCTTTACTTCCTCCGTGGCCTCTAAATATGCGGCCACCATGGCGGCCAGCCGGCCACTGGGTAGGGACCAGACCACGACCTTCTGTACTCCTGACCTGCCCAGCTGGCGGCGGTCTACGGAGCTGGCTTCGCCGGCTCGGATACCGAACTTCGCCGCATAGGGGCGCTCGAGTTACCCCAGCTGAGCGCCGGGGGATGCATAGAAATGCATGGGTTGCCACCGGTTTGAGAAGAGTTTCATCACGGTTTGAGTAAATGTGATGGGTATCTTGAATCATTTTATTTTATGTGACTTTGAGAATCTTATTTTGCGTTTCACATGACATTTCAGAGCATTATTTTTCAAATGGAACCACAAATAAGATACAAAAACATGTATCATCGCGCAAAACAAGAAAGAACGATGACAGAGACAGGTTGTAAAAAGTGCTGGCCCTCCAAATGTTTATTTAACTCATGATACCGGCTATACGTGTATACAACGGTAGACTTGTTGTCGCACACTCAGCTGGATTGAAATTACTGTCTGGACAAGAAAGTGCAAGGACTATGACATTTGACAGTGGCCGCGGCATCCAGCGCGCATAGAAAACAAACCAATACAGACAATTTCGCGCATAATTACCTTCGTCTCAAATGGCAAATGTAGATCGCAGGTACATGAATAATTAATAAAAAACACTCTGCAACTGTTTTGAAACAAAACAGCAAACAACAACAGCAAACAACTTTACCTGCAAGACTGCAGCGTTTGCTCTTTTGGAGAGCAGATTAACCTCTGCAACTTCACGGTTCAGCTTGGCTATTTGCGCTTTTAATTCAGCATTATTCCTTGCCATGGTTTGGCATTTCCGGTGCGATGATTTTGCGGAAGTCATCACACGGCACATCTTCTGGCTGGTTATAGTTGTTTGCGCGGTCAATGAGCGTCGGTCGATCTTTTTTTTTTTTTCACTTTGTCGCCAGGTGCAGTTTCAGGTGGTTCTGTGTGTTCAAATTCGGTGAGAGGGTGCATAAAGTCTGAGGATGGTCCCGAAGTTGTGTTTGCGGATGGTAGTGATGAAATATGTCGCTCGATGCCAAGCTCTGCTGCGCGCCTGGGCTGAACCTGTTTTCTTCCTGCATTAAAAAATTGTGTTCTGTTATACGCCTTTCCTTGAAATTCGTTTTCATTGGTCCAATTCCTATGCAAGAGCCGTGGGGAGTCGTCAAGCATTAAACATTGTTAGTCACTTTTTTTTCTTTGGGCATGGTCTATGTTCCTGAACATTTGAACGTTTCAAAGTGTGGCGGACTTTTGCCACGTGCGGCACCATGTACTTTGGATAGTGCGGAAACACTGACGGCACAGCATTCGCTTTCAGTCTCTTTATCTTTAGTCCCAGCTTATAGTCGGTTGGAGCAAAGTGCACACTGCACACCTTCGAACTGTCATTTGGGAGCCAAACTTCATTGCCAGCACCTTGAAAGGAAGATGAACATTCAGTGAAATATTGTGAATAAAATAAAAAAAAAATGTTCTTTTCTAAGGAGTATATCATGCAATTAGAAGTTTGTACCATGGTGGCGAAGTGAATAAAACAGAGTTATGAAGTGAGCGTATGACTTCACCTCATTAACCATGTGACACACGTAACTGGCTGAGATACATTAGCATTAAATAAAACGGATGACCACAAGAAAGAAGACAAGGAAACACGCTACTCACAACTTTTCATTAGGAGAAACGTTTTCACGTATATGTCCATTTGCCATGCATGCGCGTAGACGGGTAAACTAACACGTTTATATCACACGTGGTAGCACATAAGTTCAAGTTCGAGGTCGAACTAATTAAGCGACAGAGGATAAATATTCACTTATGCAACGATCTCTGCTCTTTTTGGTAATGTAATTAAACTACCAAAGCAATCTCGAAGAAGCTGCTTCTTCCCACAGTGGGTGTGTTTGAAAACCTAGTTGCATAACCACATGTAGTGACATGGCTTCCATATGTGCACTCTTGTCATCTTTTTTTTTTTTTTTGCTAATAAAATGTTGTGAGTATAGCACGTCGTCATTTACTTTCTTGAGGTTGTTGGTCTCAGTCTGTCATGCAACACCAACCAGCCCGGCAACTCACTCTTTTAAAGACACGTAGTCATTTGCAACCCATATTAGATTTTCAGCATGCCAGACAACGCCCAATTACCCTTTCTAGAAATCACCTTGATCCATTTTTCACCAACCTCGATCACTGGAAACTCATGAAAGTCACATCAGAAGTCTTCCCTTGCCTTGATTCGCAGAAAGGCACGCAGCACACACCATCGTGATGGTTCATTTGCACCAAGAAACCTCGCTTCGCTGGTGTACAAACTGCATCAACCTGCACGCTTCTATCGCAGCTCGGCACGAGGAGACGGTAGCAAAAGATCCTCATTATACTTTTAAGTTTATTCAAAAAGAGGCTTTTATTGATTTTTTTCCAATCGTCCAGAGTGTATGCACGCGTAAACATTCCTGCTTTTCGCCAAATGTTGCGCGAGCAGACGACAAAAAAAAAAAAAAAAAAAAAAAGCGCAGCGGCCTATGCTTTGGCCGTCAGCAACCGGTGCGGATGGGGTAAGTTGCAGCGCCACAAGACGCATAGCGGCAGGCGCCAATACCAGAAAGGGCGTGCTGGCGCTTCGCTCGCTGGGCAGGTCAGGAGTACAGAAGGTTATGGTAGGGACGTCATCAGTTTGACCACTGGCCGAACCAACGTTTTTAGAACTAGTTTTAGAAACATTGGACTGAACTGCCCGCCTTCTCTAAAAAAGAGGAAGCGAAAGTGCAGGTCTCGGGAGAAACGGTTCACTGCACGGAGGAAGGAAAGTTGTGGTTCACTGCCTCATACAAGGATCATCATCATCATCATCCAAACTTATTCCAAGAACGTTAGAATTATTTCTGTAGCATAGAGAAGTCGGGGACCAACTGTGGCCTGTCCAGAGGGCACGTACATGCAGTGGTAGGTGTTCTCTGGCACATGCTTTTTAGTCGCTCCGGTCTAGAGGGCCCACGATGCGGCGGTCGGGCTTGGCCTGACTGTCCCAAGGTGGGAGAAGCATAGAGTAACATAGTAATACCATGGTAAATGGTAGTGAATAGGTGTTCTGTGGTATTATGTTACTCTATAGGAGCAGCCCACCGCGTTCACCACAAGACTTCAAATAAAGTCATTATCATCGTAAAAAACAATTTCAAAATTTTTTATACAATTTTGTATTGCAATATATATACAATCAATAGGTAATTTTTATTTAACTATACGTTTTTTAATCAGTCCTCCAGTGATTCATAGGCCATCATCATCATCAACACTAGGTGCGCATTTCTTCTATGGTGAAAACGTTGTGATTTCGACACCGGCTTTGTCTTTTCTGCTGATAGTGTACCAAGTTTTGTCAGAAAGATCCCAAAACTGCCCAGGAAGCATGTTTGCAGTGGAGGTAGCACCACGTAATGTAAGTCTTGACGCCGAAACAATTTGTGTGGCAGTTGGCTGATACGTGCATGCTTCGCGTGCTCATCAACGCGCGCCCATCAACTTGCCATGATTGTACAGCAAAAAATAAGCGAGAAAGTAGACGAAGTGGCCACTAACACACAGTACAACTGTAATACAATACTTGTAGAGAAATCATATTGGAGTGACGTAGTGTATTAAGTGCATCGGAAGAAAGAAAAGAAAATGATTAGTAGGCTTAATTATAAATTGCGTGCAACAGAAGCTTTTGGCCAGACTACAGCTGGTCATGAGCACAACGTGTGTGTTGTAAAACCCACGCTGTTAAATAGACGGCTTCTGCATTAGCATGTGCGTGGTTGTGTTTCGCTGCATCAGTGTCGTACGTTTCGACTAGGAGGGTCGAGTGGCCAAACTCATTTTGGATGCTATACTTGTAAATTGGGTTTGCGTTGCTTGGGTATGCACGTTATTTTCGAAATATGGGGAGCATTAGACTGGAGTTTTTAAAAGCTTTTAGTTGCTGATGCTGATGACCTCAGATGGATGGCGCTCACCCACAGAGGGGGATGGGCCAAGAACCGGGTGGCAGGATACTTACATGAAACTAAAATAAAATTAAAGCCAATCTGAAGAATTAGTTTAGAGATAATACCGCCAATAAACAAAAATGTTTGCTGAGCAAGCGGTCAAACCATCTCTTGTTCCTGACAGACATCGTTACGAATTATAAACTAAAGATCTGAAAAGGTTAGGGTTCTCTAGCACGGTAATCTATCAGTTGCATTGATGTAATAAAACACAGTGGAGCATATATCTCTGTGGCAGTAACCAAATGAAGTGCCGCCAAGTGATAAAAGTACTGGTAGATTTACTTGTATTCCTAGCTTTTGTAATGGGGCTACTAAAATCTTTTTCTCTATAAGAGTAACGACGACAGAATAAAAGGAAATGTTCAATTGTTTCAATTTCATTGCAAAAAATGCACAGCGGTGACGCCTCGAGTCGAGCTTTGTTAAGGTAATACTTTAGTTGTGGAACTGTACAGCGCAATCTGGTATAAGTGACCTCTAACTGGCGAGATACACACCACTGTTTATTCCAGCAATACCTTATAGGCTCGAAATCTTTAAATTTATCCGCATTGCCTATTCTCCATTGTAAACAAACATTTCGGAACCTTAGCGCCGTCACTCGGCATTAGCCACGCTTAATGCGTCAACCTCGTGAGTTATACGTTATTAACACACACGTTGTGCTAAACTATGGCATTCTGCAGTAAACGACAGAGCAAAGGGGGCAAAAGTATTATTGGCATTTGACAAACTGAAAATAAACGGCAAAATGTTTATCTGGAGTTAACACGAGGGTCGAAGAACTGAACAAAAATTAACACCTTCTACAGGTATTTACCCGACAACTCACAATAACAGGTGACAACAAAGTGCTAAAACTATCAGTGTTTTATCGATGAATGCTCGCAGTGTACTAAATAAACCCAGCCTGCTAGAATGCGCAGTTGCAGCCCATCAACCTCACGTTGTAGTTATCACCGAAACTTGGTTTCATGAAGGTATTCAGGATTCAGAAATATTAGACATATTAACGGCTGATCCGCAAAGACACAGAATCACGTGGTGGAGTGCTTGTTGCAATTAAACCGAACATTAAATTCACCATTCTTGATAGCATACCTGGTCATGAAACCGTTTGGTGTAAACTTACCTTTCAAGGAAAAAGTATATTCCTGGGCGGAGTGTACCGACCGCCAAATGCTTCAGCATTTACCCCGATGTCATGCATGATTACATTGCACAGCACACCAACTCACGTTCTAATATTATCATCACAGGTGATTTCAATTTACCTCGAATTAACTGGGCTAATCGTTCACACGACAATACCGATATCAAAAGTGCTGAATCATTGTTATATATGTCATTTACTTTCTCTCTAGATCAACTAGTCTCTAAGCTGACCAGACTAGTTGGTCCCTCACGTTCTGTTCTTGATCTGATATTTGTTAGCAGTCTACTTCATGATAATACTGTGAATATTGAAGATGGTATTTCAGACCACAAAATGATCGTATTCTCCTGCCCTATTTCAGGCAACAGTGGACGCGTAAAGCCGTCAATAACTGTCATCAAAGATTACTCTAGATCAAATGAAAATGCCATCTCGCAATATTTAGACTCCTGTTTTTTATAGCTTTTGTTGATACAAGGTGTAAATACATTATGGTTACGTTTTAAACAAATTGTATGTTTGTATGTCTTTGTGAAGATCACTACATTGCCTCCCGTAAAAGACGATATAATAGAAAAAACCCTTGGGTTTCGCACGATATCATTCACCTAAAAAGGCAAATTGAAAAGAAACGCAAGAATAAAAACACATGTGGTCTACAAGAACTTGCACGCACTTTACAATATAAGATTAAAACAGCCAAGGAACGTTTTTTTACGGTCACTCTGCCTTCTTACATGATGGAAAGACCACAAAGCTTTTGGTGCTATCTCTCACAGGAGCGACGTAATGTATCGCAGATTACTGTTGCAAACGAAACTATTGTACAGCCTGACGTCATAGCAAATAAGTTTAATGCGTTTTTTCAATCGGTATTCACCAGAAATGCCTTTAACTATCAATATGACAATCTAATGCCAGAAATAGACACCACTCAAGAAGGAATTTATCACCTCATACAAAAGTTGGATGTAAAAAAAACCTGTGGTCCTGACTTCATAACGGATGTGTTTTTGCAGAAAAACGCAGATTGAGTGTCAAGTTATTTGTATGTAATTTACAAGCAATCATTGGAAACTTCGGTAATACCGGACGACTGGCTACTTGCGAAAGTAGTACCTGTGCATAAATCTGGCTCTGAGCATGAAGTTAATTACAGACCAGTTTTATTAATATGTACATGCTGTAAATTGTTTGAACATATTATTTATAAGGCCACCATATTACATTTAGAGCTTAATAACTTACTATACAACCGGCAGCGTGGTTTCCGTTCAGGATTGTCAACTATCACCCAATTATCTGAGATAAGTCATGATATAGCTAAAGCAATAAATAATAAAAGTGAAATTGATAGAAATTTTGTAGATTTTTCAAAATCGTTTGATGTTGTCTCCCATCCAGACCTAGTTACTAAATTAAATGCCATTGGCATACACGAAAAAGCAGTTTCATGGATAAAGAGCTATCTGGAAAACAGGATGCAGTGAATAATTGTGTGTCCGATTACCTTGACGCTTATTCTGGTGTGCAGAAGGGTTCAGTGCTTGCACCACTACTATTCCTGATCTACATCAATGATATTCAATCATGCATTTATATACCTGTTCAGATGCGATTATTTGCTGATGATTGAGTATACAGAACAATAAATAGCAGGGACGACCAAAACCAAATAGAATTAAACAATTCCTTAGCATCTATACGAAGCTGGTGCAACAAATGGGGAATTAACTAAATGCAACTAAAGCAGCTAGTACTTCCTTTACACATAAAAGGAAACCTCTTCAGTACCAGTACACCATCGATAACGTCCCGTTGAAGAAGTGCGACGAAGTCAAATATCTCGGTGTCACTTTTACAACAAAATTACACTGGGACTGTCATATAAATAACGTATGTCAAAAGGCTCTAAGCAAACTGCCTTTTTGAGAAGAAAACTGAAAAATACACCTTCCAGCATTAAACTAAGTGCGTATAAAACACTCATTAAGCCAGCTTTAGAGTATGCGGACATAGTATGGGCTCCACACCACATATCTTTAACCGATAAATTAGAACGCATACAGAAACTAGCATTGTAGTTTATATATTCCAAGTATTCATGACAAACATCCATAACGAACTTGAGGGTCGAGGCTGATATCCAACCACTTGTACAACTCGGGCTGGTTTAGAGACTAAAATTTTTATACTTCTTTTATCGGGGATCTTATCGAATACCCCAAGCGACATATTGTACGCCATTCAGGCATTCAACTCGGACGAATCATAATAAAACAATATGCCAACAACCCTGTCATAATAACACTTTCAAATATTCTTTATTTCCACACACCATTTCCCATTGGAATGCACTGCCTGCTGATGTTGTAAACTGCTCAACTGTTGATGAATTCATTAACAGCGTTCAGAATTTAGATTTAAAATGGTAAAAGAATTGGTATCATTAGTATTCCATAAGCTACCCCTTTAACATGCACAATTATTATAATTCTGTTTGCTGTTTGTATGTACCTTGTTTACTGCATTATGTTCATATTCCTTGTCATTTGTATGTGATAATACTTATTGCTCTGTATAGATGGTATTGCTCTGTATATATAGGTTTTCTTTTTTTTTTCTTTTTTTCAACCCACTCCTGCATGGGCCCGAGGAGGGCCTGCAGTATTGTGAAATTAATAAATAATTCAAGGCATTGCATTTCTAGACATTGCGTATGCATCATACACTGACCTTGGGCATACGCATTATAATTGACTGTGGATGGATGGATGCTATGAGCGTCCATTTTATAACGGGGTGGTGACATGTGTGCTACCAGGCGTGCAGGAAAAAAAAAGACTTTTTATGTTGACCTAATGCCTTATCTACTTTGACTAAATCGATCTCATTATAACAAAAAAAATAAATTTATGTTCCATCTCTGTGCCTCTTCAGACAGAATAACCTAATTTCCCCACAATTTCTGTCCTTCATCTCTACTTTTCTGCCACCAATATTCTAATTGTCTCTTGCTTGCTTCTATCGCGGACGGGTCCAGCTTTCCTTGTTTGGCCCTAAAACCCAAAGCCTCATGTAGGCTTGTACCCATCGTATACTTGGATGGATATCATTGCTTCCAATCAGAACATTCTCCATCGTTTCTTTACGATGGATGGATTGATATGGCTGTACCCTTTAGATCGGGCGGCAGCTAATGTCACCTAGCCATAATACTTAGTGAACAAAAACTAGATTTTTCTTTTT